ATGGAGAGACAGTTCAGAAGCAGTGAGGAGTTGCCAGACCTGACCCGGTGAGAACCTGAGCCCTTCAGGCCTGATCAGCTCTGGGGTGAGCGGTGAGGCAGGCAAGCAGCCGTGCTCAGGAGGTGCGTTTTCCGCACCAGGAGAGACCCAGCCGCTGGGAGTCTACATAGCCACCCAGAACCAGTAAGCAGCAGCCCTCAATCCAGTGAAAGATAAGTAATTGCATACCGTGCGGATCAAAAACACCCCCCTTAGGGAAAAACCTTTCTCCCATTTACCTCCCCGCTCCCAGCAATTGCCGAGTCCCCCAGGCCAGAAGTAGGATTTGTCATACTCCTGGAGCCATTCTCCTTGCCTTGGAGAGTGAACAAATTAACAAACGGGAAAAATAAACTGCCGGCTCCCCTAAGCCAGGAACCCAGGGTAGGCACAGCTCCTTTGCCTAGGCACCGACGTAAGGGACACACGGACTTTGAGTGCCTTTCCCCCTGCATAGACGTGTGGGCCCATCTCAACAGCGTAGGCCCTCATTACCACAGTACAACAGCGTATACCGGAACTCTAACTTCAACGGTTTCAGCTGTGAAGTGGCAGGTCCTTGACATTTGACACTGCTCTGCCCATTAAGCAGGGTCTTCCCCTACCCACATCAGGGGCCTGAGGACTGGTGGCTCCACCCACGCCACCAAGCCACCTGCGATAGGACCCCATGAATAAGAGATGCCTCCCAGTCCTTAGAGCGAACAGCATTAGGTGCTCATAGTCCAGCTGCAAAACCCATCCACCTACGCGCTCTAGGGAACAGGGACACGCCTTCCTCCTGGACACTCGGGGGTGGCCGTCAGCCCCCTGCCTTGCTCAGAGTGTGTCCCGCTGCTGCAGCCAGATGCCTGTGCCTACACCAATCACCCATGCCTGTCTAGGACTGTAAGTGAGAGCCTACACTACACACTTGGTGGCTATCTACCTGGGCACCTGAGCTGAATCTATGCAGGAGTGGGTGGACTCCTGGGCTCACATACTTAGTGGCATGTCAGGCCACCTGGTAGCAGGACATTGGAGCTTCAGGCGTGCTGACGATCGGGTTAGCTCGCACGAACAGATTATTTGGGCATATCAAAACATGAAGCTAGGACACAGTAAGCAAACATAAAATAAAGAAATATAATAACTTATTGATGGCTCGGAGACAACAATCACTATCAAATCACATAAAGAGGCAATCCATGATGGCTTCAGCAAACTCCCAAAATAAAGAATCTAGAAATTTTCCAGAGGAGGAAAATTTCTTGGAATTATCGGAGGCAGAATACAAAAGATTAATATACAGAACTCTTCAAGAAATTAGGAAATTAAGCAAAACGCAGAACATGCAATAGAGGAAATAAAAAAGATTAGAGAAGAACATAATAACAAATTTAACAGGCTGCAAGAATCCATAGAGAGACAGCAATCGGAAATCCAGAAGATTAACAATAAAATTTCAGAATTAGACAACTCAATATAAAGTCACAGGAGCAGAATTGAGGCAATGGAAGTCAGAATTAGACTGAAGATAAAGCACTTGACACCAACTTATTTCAGGAAAAATCAGATAAAAGGATTTAAAAAAATGAAGAAACCATAAGAATTATGTGGGACTCTATCAAGAGGAATAACCTACGAGGGACTGGAGTACCAGAATGGGGGGGGGAGGATAACAGAAAATACAGAGAGAATTGTTGAAGATTTGTTGGCAGAAAACTTCCCTGATATCGTGAAAGATGACAAGATATCTATCCAAGATGCTCATCGAACCCCACATAAGGCAGACCCCAAAACAAAGTCACCAAGACATATTATAATCAAACTTGCCAAAACCAAATTTTAAGA